TACTTCCTCTTTATGTTTTCATTGAATCACTAAGATCAATTCCCATCAGTTCCTCGAACAATTGATGATTCTCGTAGTGGACGTGGAATGTTCGCTGTTGAAACCAGCGAAATCTAGCTATAAATGATCTAATGATGTCCTTTTCTTGAAAACAATCCGCCTTTTCGCAGGAGGTGGAAGTGGTTTTGATCGATGATCGTTTGTCGTAAGAATGTCGTAATGCAATTTTGAAGTAGTTCACATAATCAAGAGACGTAATTGTGTTAGTTGTAGAATGCCAATTTTACACACAAACACTAATGACGAACTCGTCTACTGATTACTTTTTTATGTCTTTCGTCCAAATGGAATCGTTCAAATTAAATCACTTTAATCGCCTCTAAAGATTAATTCCCATCTCATTACTGGTTTGATCCCAGCCCATTTATCACACTTATTAATAAGTAATAAGCGGCATAAATGGACTGCCCGTATTTTCCCATTTGATAACTAACTACTTACAAGCCACTTCATTGTTAGCAAATGCGATTCGTAGCCAGCCAATAGATCAGAACAATTGATAGTAACGATTTCCCATTCATTTCGTTTTTTTTGGACTTGCATCAGGTTCCCTTCCATGCATTGGCTCTAGGCTATTAAACCCGTGATTTTGAGGCACCGTCAGAACGCGTATTGCATCAGCACGGAATAAACCCATGACAAACGCTACTGTGCTCAGGGACTACCATGCATCGGTCAGTTCAATGTGTGCATGTGCCTTCCGTTTTTTAACAATTTTCTCCTTGAGCTACATCTGCTCGAATAATAAAAGAATACTGAAAGATTTACCCATCGACTCATGCTAAAATTGTCCAAGAAACCGTTAGTGATGCAGATGCAAATGATTCTCAGCGGGTAGACTTTTCACTGACGATGAGCTAGACAATGGTAAATCATTTTCAACCATTTATAAAGAATCATCCGAATACTATTGCAACAAATCCACATTTTCAAATTTATTCCGGTTCATCTCCGTTGAATATTATCCCATATAACATAAAACTTTGTCTACATTAGTGTCCACGATTCAATGAGTGCGCTAATTGTTTTCAATGGAATATAAAAGAGTATGAACAGATATCCAAAGGATCATTTGATTTCCTTCAAAATTCACAGTTCTATCAAGTGAATCAAGGCAGAAGTATTTCTTCAAAAAATCTGAGATTACATTAAAATGGTCTGAAATGAGAGTGGTAGCTTTGCAGCCTGAAATGCCCGTGGACCCATCGGATCTGACAGACGATATCATTGCTGCAGGCGCAATTTTCGTCGTAAGTAGTTTTCACATTACTTATTCCATGTTTTTATTCATTGTCAGATAAGAATTTCTATAATATGCTGATGCTTATTCAAATAAATGGCCATAAAGGCGATTAATCCCTAATGACATCGCAACCATACGTATGTGCACTCATTGACATCGATATCACAATGTGAACATTAATTTTAAAACAATGGAAAATTTCTCATTCACCTCATAAATTTTCCATTCAGTTTGGTGGAATTTGATCGTTGTTGATGAATCCACATATCGAATGATCATTTTTTTCGTTCCTCTTTAGGTGGCCATCATTGGAATTGTAACGAATGGAATGTCTGCAGCAACAATCTTCAAAATGGATCACTTGCGAAATGCGTTCGGATATTCGTGTGCCTCACACGCTGTTGGCAATCTCGGTGTTTTGCTCATTTACGCCATTTGGGCAGCACCTATATTAATTGTGTACGGCAGGTAATGCTTTTGATTCTTCGTATTATGAAACTTTAACGAAGTGGACAAATTGCGGTAGTGAAAACCAGGAATGAAAGCGGTGGGTTGGCAATGAGTAGGACCATAGCCTTGAATTATGGGTCAAAATGGCTGACTGCAAGAAGTACGAGTTCCTTGCTTAAGGTGCAGGAGAATCTCAGCTGAAATAATCCGATTTACTGGTGTGCAATTCCTGAACCAAACTACACGAAGTGGGAGCTAACCTCAGACTTAGGTCATGATGAGGGGGTGATCCCTCTTACCCAATCAGGCTGTATGCCTGAGAATGGCTAAGAGTATTTACACATCGATTTAAAAAAAAACTCGGTGCCTGCACTCCCTATCGTAGCTCAACGTAAATGCCTGAATTCATTGTGATCGTTTGTCCACAATAAATATGAAATAGTGAATTGAACCAATATCATTCC